GTAAAGTGCATTCTAACAAGAAAGATTATGGTCAGTTGCTTGCACTAAACTGTATGTTCTTGAAATTATTGCGTGCTTTGTTTTGTTTTGTTTTCTCAATTACAATATCTCTCTTAGCTTATTTGAATTTGGAATACTTCCTGGAAAATCTTGTCTCTCTCCATAATTATGTAGGATCTCCAGGAGAACCAGAATAATAATATTGATAGGGACATTTGAGGACATTTATCCAGATATTGAGAGTTCCAAGTTTCTCATGTACGAATCTCAGGAATCTTCTTACAAAACTAATGAGATGTAGGATTTCAGAATACAATAATTCTGGGGTGGAAATTTATTTCTTATCTTGCCATTTGGCACCTCCCCAAAAATCCCTATTTAATTAATTGAATTCTGCATTTATTTCTCTCTTATCTTTCCAAACAAAGTTCTCTGAGTTATAAGTACAATTCATAAAACTATGAAAAGGCTTCAGCAAATCTTTGCATGAGCTATAATTAGAAATGAACTTGAAGATGAATCGCTTTCCAGAAATAAGGGAAAAAGGCCTTGCTTGTACTTCATCATATCAATGTTTTAAATAGAAATGCTTTGTTCATTAGCCAGACTATTTCTGGCTATAAAATTAATGCTTTGACAGATTTGAAAATAAATTGCTAAATCTGTAGTGATACATTTTCAGTTCCTGTAGCACAATAATCTTTTTTTTTTTTTTTCAAAAGAAACTTACTTGCTATAAAGGAAATAATGATTTTCTTACAAACAAGGAAAACTTCAATCTTGTCTCTTCATATTGTAATGTTTAGCAGAATTAATCTTTAGCACCAGTGCAGATTTCAATCAAAAAATAAAAATACTGTCTTGAAACTGGAAATGTAAAGCATTTTATATATGTGTTTCATTTCTCTATGGAGCCTGTGGTTCTAAAATGCCCAGGACAATTTGAAAGTGCACATTTTCTTTTACTTTCATCTTATCAGGCCATGTAATTGAATCCTTAGCAGGTTTGGTAAGGACTACTCAGGTGCTGTTGCACTGTCCATCACCTGTGGTGTCCCTCGGGGATGAAGTTTTACCAGCATTCTTCATGGAGGATGTGGTCTGTAGGGAAAGTCTACAGTTTATCTCATCCCATCTCATTGCCTTTAGAGCTGGAAGAAGCCACCAGAGGGATTTTACTTAGCCGTGTCTTCTCTGTGATGTGGTTTTCTGCTCTGAGATACCTGCTGAAAAGGAGGCCTTGTACTTCTTAAGTGAACTCAAAATGCCATCCAGGATCAGGCTGTGCCAGAAAGCCAAGCTGGAACATAGTTAGGCTCTTATATTAGGCTCAGAATGACATTGTTTTAACTTGCAGAGGGACATGTGACAGTGGTGGGTCATAATATGCATTTTTTATAAGAGTCCCTTGCAGTTGTAACCAGAGCCTTGGTAAACACATCTGTGCTAAGTGCCTGTGTGTAGTGAGAGCCTGTGAGAGTTGCTCCTCATAAGGAGGAGGCAGGTCAACCATATACATGGGAGGCAACAGAGCCCACTGACATTTTTATTCCATTGCACAGTTCAAAGGAGCAAAAAATATCAGTAGCTTAATGAGCCTAACAAAGTTTGTACAGAAACTCCCAATTATGAGTATCAGGAGAAAGACAGGAAGGCAGAGGAACAGGCTGTCAGGGAGCTGCACCACAGACTGCAGTTAAACCTCAGCACAGCTGAGGCTGGCATCACGATCCAGAATGCAAGTATCCATGGGCTCCCTGGCAACTCTCTGGAAGGTGGTTGTCCGGCTGTGACTGATACGCACCGTGTGGCCTCCAGCTCAAGCAGCAGTGTGGGGGTGGCCCTGCAGGTGAGCTGGTGGGAATCCACCTCAATGCAGGCCCACACCCTGAGTTCACATTCAGTGTGGACATAACCTCAAGACCTCATGTGTTCAGGCACCCATCTAGGCAGGTAGGGCCAATAAACAGAGAGCATGCTGCAGGGAGCAAACATGAGCAGTCGTTCCAAGGAAGCCGTTCTGCGCCAAAGTAAATTACCGACAGTTGTCATTTAAGTGGGAATAAGCTTCAGTGATTACTTTTTGCATATTTGTTTAGAATGGAACCAGATGTTCCTCAGCCCATGTTATAAACTTCCAGTGTGTGTTTAAGAAAATCAGAAAAGTAGTTTACTGAGTCATATTAGTGAGTTGGTGTATCTGAAGAACCGTGTCTGCTTATGGTGACTGAGTTACATTTCTGAATCAAAATATATTTCCCAAGGTAAGACCCAGCAATATTCGAATTGCCATTCCTGCAATGTTAATATAGCTCCAGCATGAGTAAAGCTATTGTTGCCGTTGTTAAAAAAGAAACATTATCTGCCCTTCAGGAAAATTGCTCTGAATCATTGTTGAAGTTTGGGTGAGTGTATTACTAGAATAATTTTCTGGTTTTAATAATTTTAATTTTACCTTCTTGATGCGTTTGCATTTCTTGTTGTGGCATGCTTTTAGTCTGCAGCCAGAGCCAGGAATCCAGGCTGCAGTGATATATTAGACTTCAGAAGGAAGCAAGTTGCTCTATCTAAATCATCTAAGAAATTCTTTTTGGTTATCCAGTCTGTTTGAAATTGTCAGGACATCTCCCTTTCCGCCCAACTTCTAAGACCTGCAGCATTAGCATCCCCGCCTATGTGTGTGTGGCTTCCTGTTGCAGTAATACTCATAGCAGTGTTCTGACCTTTGAATGAACTTTTAAGAATCAATAACAGCAAGATAGAAGAAAGGTCAGCAGCAGATTTCCTCTTGTCTAACTTCAGCCAAAGTTACACTGGGAATATCTGAGATGTATAAATTTGGAACTATCATAATCACGTTTATGCTGCACTTCTGCAGGAAGTATATAAATTTCTTAAGCACTGTCCTGGAGCTGCTGTTGCATGGAAATAATACAATGCCAGAGTCAGTTGTGTCATTAATGGTTTTTAAGCTATTGTATATTTTCACGTGGCAGAACTACCACAAGAGGCCTTAACAGCCAGTGCTAAAGAATAATTTTCCTGACTATATTTTGCCACAGGGAAAGTGGAACTGGATTAGAAACCATTCTCATTAGTGACTTGCTGCTGCTGAAACACCTTTAAAGTGTGCATTTCTTCTCCTTTTGGATTACAGAAGTACAATTGATGCAGTTGCTGCATATTTGAGCTAGCTGTCTGAGCACAAGCAGATATTGTTCAAGATGCAAGGTTTGCCTGTTCAAATCCATTATAGTAATTTCTCAGCTTTCTAAAGCTCTTTCCAAAATCAAGATTTTTCCTGTAATGAATTAAACATAGATGTTGTTTGCTGCCTCCACATACTGAGGAAACCAAGCCTTGTAATTTCCCCTAATTTCACTGTCTAAAAGTGAAGTTCTAGTTTAATTAAGCATTTTATTTCTACAGAGCTGGCACCTCTAGAAAGTGCTTATTGCACTCTTTTGCTTACCAAGGAAGCCTGGCCAACTAGTTTAAACTGTAACTATAAATTAAAGTCTGACTTCAGGATGCATCAAGTTAAGTGAGATGAATCCCATAGCTAACAGTGACAGTAATGGGTCTCACAGAGTGAGAGATCTACCTTGTAATTAAAGTCAATTTTTTCAGCCCATGCTGCCCATGTCTTCCCATAGAATCAGTAAAGCAGAGCCTTTTTCCAGAGCCACCTGGTGCTGCTGCAATTCATAGAGCTTATATCTGTAAATTCACTATTGCAGTTATTCTAAAAAGTTCACATCAATATCTCTGTTTTTGTCTTCTATTTTCTTGACTGACTAAATGGAGAGATCATTGTCATAGATAGTGATAGCTATAGAAACCTTTGGTGGCAGTTCAAAAAAGTTGCTTTGAGAAATGCTCTTTTTCTGCATCCATGTTGTTTGAAAATTGTGTCTACTCATTCAGCCAGCCTAACAGAAAAGTCTGAAAATGAATAGAAAATAAAGCAGATTTGCTGGAATCTGACAGCTTCCATTTGATGAAAATTTGTTTGGTCAAATGTAATTTAAAAAACAAGAACTGTAAAATGAAGGAGAATTTTTAATGGCTATTATTTTACTTAATATCAATTTTCTCAAACAGAACGAAGGAAAAGACATTTTCACACATTCTACATGAACTGTTAGCATCAACTTTGAATTTCCTTATTTCTTCATACATTATAAGATATCCTTAATATACAACTGTTTTGCCTGAGAATAAATCTTGTGTTTATTCAAATTCTTAGATGTATAATATTAAAAGATTATTTGCTGTCTTTCTCTATGTATCTCCTTCCCTTTTTTGTTCTTCTTTTTTCCTCTTTCAGAAGGATCAATTAACTTTGCCATGCACGTCTTTAGTGCTCTTAAACATAAAGCCATCTTGTAAATTGCCCAAAACTGGATCATGGCTGAAACTATTCGTTGCATGTGCTGAGGGTGGCTAATGTCTGAAAGAACTACCTCAGCCTGTTTCATTGCATTTATGTCAGTGTTTGAAAGTGGCGGCTAATTCTGGGAAAGGAACACGTTCTTACAGTCTGCCCTCTCTCAGAGTTTCGCCTTAGATTTCTAGCATCTCCTCCATCAGTCTGCAGTGTGATTTTCTACCTTTCTTGCTTTCCTTAGGAGGCAAAGCTCATGGCTTTGATTCCTTAGCTCTTCTGTAGCCCTCACAGATCAGGCTCAACTGCTGCTTTCCTCACAGATGTCAGCCTACTCCAACTTCTTTTTATTTCCTGCTTGCTGAACAAGATAATGTATAAGGTCATATCTTAACTGTGACTTTATATCCAAGCTGTCCCCAGCTACTAAACATCTGACTGAACCCACAGTCAGTACCAGGACTTGAACCTCTTGCCAGACCCTGGCGTTGTTTTCATGTCATGCTAGACTACATTCTCTAAGCAGTGCGCAGGCAGCTTCTCACAAGTCTTACAAATACAGGAGCCTGTGCTGCTCTTACTAACAGCAGGCAATTTTGCTTGGTGGTTCCAGAAAATGATGAAGAGCAAGAGGCTCTGTTATCACTGGACAAGCCCGGCTGGTATTCCCAAGGTAATGCTATCCATCTTTATGAACTACTGAAGAAGATGACTGGAAAGTTGGACCCCAAGGTATGTTAAAAGTGGAATTTAATCTTTGTAAAGACATTCTATTTCCATATAAATATCATCAGATGATCTTGCATTACAGTTGATGATGTGATAAATCATTAATTTTTGTTCTGTATACACTGCTTTGGGGTAGAACAATTCCATTACATATCAAATTTGACTATTGCATCCATTTTTGTTGCTGGTGTTTAGTGAAATGACCTATCAGTGCACAAAGTGATAGACTCACCTTTGTTAGCTTACTCCATATCTTTTTCAACACACAGTATTTCCTATCTTGCTCTTTGTGAAAAGGTCTGTGCACACTCCCTGCTCTAAAAGGAAGGCAGGGCATGCAGTTACTACTTCTTCGGATGTATGACGAAAGCTGCATCAGGAGTGACAAAATACAGCTAAAGTTGCCTGCTCCTTCACTGTCTTCCAGTAACCATTTATCATTTATTTAGCAATGATGGGCCTGTTCTAGAATCTAAAATGTTGTACCATTCCTGGTGGATGCAAGTTTCAAAACTGCAGTCCAGAACTGGAAGGAGTGTATATGTCTTTTTGTTGTTAGAATATTTAAACTGTCTAGCTAAGATGTTTTATTCTGGGTGCTTTGTTATGCATTTCTGAAGTTGCATGTAGAATCAGATTATCATCAGAAAATCCATCTCCCCGAGGAAATAAATCAAATAGGTGAAAGGGTGACATCAGTGAAAATTAGGATCACTTTAATGACAACTCGGCATGGATGAAAAGGCTACTTGAAGGTGGTAGTATTTTTTCTGTAATGGGTTGACTACCACCTGGGTAGAGAAGAGTTCTGAATCCTCAAGATATTCTGTGTTTTCCCATTTCCAAAGTTGTCCCAAAATGCATTCCAGTTGGTCTGTGCATTTTCTTTTAACTCTTTTCCACTGCTTCCTGGCAAACTATTTCTGTCAGTCAAAGATCTCAGTTGCCATCATGTGTGCCAGTCCTACGTGGGCATTCCCAGGCAGTGCCCCGAGAGAATCAGAGCAAGGAGGGGATGTGGAGTCAGCCTTTTCCTTACTGAACTGTTTGAAGATAAAAGCCCAAACATTAATAAGATTTGTGTGTGTTGTGGCCAACTGTAAACACAGAGGAATTTTTATTAGGTTGTTTTAAAGCTCTTTTTCTCTCTCTGCAAAATACAGTTTGCTTGTGTTTTCCTCCAATACAAAGAACTTTTAATTCACTGCTTCCCTCATAGGTTGTTTATTTTGGTGACAGCATGCACTCAGATATTTTTCCAGCTCGTCACTATAGCAACTGGGAAACTGTCTTCATCTTGGAGGAGCTTCTAGGGGACAAAGTTATGGTGCCTACAGAGACTGAATCTGAGCCCTTGGAGAAGAAAGGAAAATATGAGGTAAGGGTTCCTTGCCAATATTTCCTAGAAGAGAAGAAAGTAAGCTGAAAAGTCTCCCTCCAGCCACCTGTGCTGAGCATGAGCCTGTTTATCTCGCTAGGCTGCTGGCTCCAAGCCTCACAGACGTACACTCCTGGTGACATCAGGACCACACCGTTCTGTCCCAGGTTGGCATTGCATGGGCATCACAGAGCCTTCATTACCCTTAGATAACTCAGAAAAAGAGTCCCTTGTTCTTAACACAGTCTTCTCCTTTCTAGTAACGAGAACCTGTTCTGTGTCCTGCAAGAAGTTTCACAGAAGCTTATCAGGTCCAGCACCTGAGTTTCGCTGAGTTCATGACACTTCCCTGCATGCATGGCCATAGTTTTTATGAGGTTGTTTTAAAGTTCTTTTTCTCTCTCTGAAATATGCTTTGCTTGTATACAGAGAACTTTTAATTTGCTGCTTCCCACAGAGGCTGTTTGTTTTGATGACTGTTGCACTCAGATAGGAGGAACTGTTTCTAAGAACGGTCAGATGTGAACCACTGATTGTTACCTCAGAAAAATTCTAAAATTTTCACGTTGATCGCAGTTGGGAAGCAGGCCCTTAACATTAGTACCATTCTAATTGCTCCTCAGGGTGAAATTTTACTACAGTTTTTCTTTCTCTCCACTGCTGAAGATCTAAGTAGGTAAGGAACAACACTTAGATGGTATAGTTGTACCTCCAGTGTGCCATGCTGAGGAACTACAGTCCAATTTCAGCAAGGGAACTCTGCAACCAGATAGCAAGAAGAAGGAAATTCATTCTCTTAGTAATTCTCTGCTTTTTTAATATTTCTATCTAATGTTTTCCCCCATTGTCTTGATTTCTAAACTGAGGTCAGACTAGGACATTTCACTCAGTGAAATAAAGAAGGAAATGTAGTCATTAATGTTTAGGCTTTTTCCTGAAGCGTAGGGAAAAAAAGAAAAAGAAGCAAACAAAGTGCAGTCTCCTATCAAGATAAATGTGCTCCTCAGTAAAAAAAAAAAAGAGAACAAAGAATAAAGGCAATGTGAGGAGTTACATGGGTTAATAAAATTTGATGTAATTAACTAATGCTGTAAAAATAAGTTATTATCCTCCATAAATCTTGGAGTCCCTCTGATTGGAGACTCATTGCTCCTTTGAACACACATCTCCCTAAGATTTTTTTTTTATCTCAGCCATTGGTTCTGAAGCATGCTTAATGTATGCTTCTGAAGCCAGTGTATTTAACCAAGCAGCCAGAACGTTTCTTTTTCTAGAAGTACAAAAGAAGAGTTACTGAGTGATGTGTTTCTAAGCCCTTGATAATGATTTATTATTTTATCTTGTTGTAATGCATCTCGTTGAAGTATCTTCTCTATCACTGCAGTTATCAAGTAGGAATGTGAGACTTTTATACAGGTGTCTGACATTTCACTAAAGCTGTAGCAGTCATGATAGACTCAAGGAGATAACACCTCTGCCACAGAAAACCCCTGTTCAGTTTACATCCGCTACCAGTGACAGCAAGTAAGCAAGGGAGAAATGAATTGTGTTGATTAAAGGAATCAGAACCAAGGGGGCCATGTAGGTCAGTGGCGTTATTTCATTACCATGCTGCTCACTGGAGTCTGAACAACAGGTCACATCCATATCTCTGCAGTTGACTGGACACCACTGACTTAACAGGACTAGTTCAAAGAGATTCCCTTTACAAGCCCATGGAAGTTTTATTTTTATTCCCATAATCGACTTCTCCCATTAACCCTCTGGTTATGAGTGGAGGAAAGCCAACTCAGAGGACTGCACAAAGTCAGATGTTCTAGGAAAATTAGACACTAGCAAACAAGACTTGGTATTATTCATTTGCCTTCCCATTCATTCATTTCTCAGAAATACAGTTGCAGATTTTGCATGCCATGCTGGGTGTGCAAAGAGGGACTGAAAATTTAATTCAAGACACAATCCTCCCTTCTATCAATCTTCACTAAATATTATTAAATAAATGAAATACTGCCTCTAAATTGCAATTGCAAATTTTGAAATAACAAAAACTGTTTTCAGTCGCATTACATGATATTTCACCACTAACAGAGAGAGGGAAAGAAACCCTCCTCACACTCAAACTGGAAGTAATTTCTATTTTCATTAACAGTTTTTGTCTTTTCCACTTCAGTTAAATGCCTGATATAAGCCAGATACACAGAACTGCGAAATTATGGAAACAACTGCAGTTCTTTTGAGTGTATGAGTCATAACCAAATGAGCAAGGGAATAGCAAAACTATTTATGCAATTACTCAGCTATTAAGTGAATGGCAGCATACAAGGAAAGAAAAGATAAAAAGAAGCAAACAAAAAAAAAAGCAAGTATTGTGTTGAAATTAGATTCCCCTCAGATTCAGGGGTTTGTTTGCTTGGCTGGAGGTTTGTTTTTTTCTTCTGTTCTTTAAATATGTGATCAATTTCATCAGTGAAAACTCTAGGAAAAGCTGGATTTCATCCTAGGATTTCAAGGGAAATCATTATAGAGGAGCTAGTCAGCATATAAAAAACAAGGTTGCAGGAGTGAATGGAGTAAAAAGGGAAGAAGCCATTGGCAGATATAGACAATATTTCTGATATTTCTGCATTAGAAGGAAAACTGGTTTTCACAGTATTGCCTAGTGGCTATTCAGGAGGTCAAGCCCTTGAGGCTTGTCTTTCCAGGACTCTGAGTGACCTGAGCCAATGGCTGATTGCTCCAGGCCTCTTGGCTCTGTTTCTCTCTGTATTCCTACTTCTCTTCAAAACAAATCTAATGGTACTTCCAGGAACAACCTGATGGGCTGCTGTGAAGCCCAGCCAGTTAGAGGGATATCCTTAAAGCAATATCCTTAACATGGCGTGGCTGTTTTATTCAGGTACATCAGTTCATTGTGTCCCTTACCAGCACTGTTCTGCTGGTGGAAGTACCTCAAAAACCTGCTGTTACACAGGCAGAACTGTATTCTGAGCATTGTTTTTATAAGCTCTAAGAGTCAGTGGTGGTTTTATTGCTTTGGCATGAGGCATATGGCCATCAGTGTCACAGGATACAGTATGCAGTGAAGCAATTGTAGTAACCCCTGCTCAGTAAAAGACAATGGCTTAGATGGCAAACCCTCATTTCAATAGTGCCTTTAAAAAATGTACAATGCTTTACAGTTTTACTTTTCACTCATCTCCCTTCCATCCTTTTTTCTTTCTCCTGTTTACTAAACAGGGTAGAACTTCAGAGCTCAGCTCCCTGTTCATTTCAGTTTTCTACAGGCAATTTGTAAGCCAGCAAATCATTGTTTCCCAAGGGTCCCATTAACTAAACCTGTCTGGTCTGTTAGCCAGCCATATTTATCTGCAGTTAATAAAGTAAGGGAGATAATAAGCATCCCAGGTGCTTTGATTTAGTGGAAAGCTTTGAGTGTTGGAGCACAGTTGTACCATCATTTCTCTCTGCTGTCTAGATGTAGTCTGTAAGGCTTTGTGCCCTGATCTGTTACAGTCAACATGCAACTTCCTCCTGCTGTCTGCTGGTATGCCTGAGAGCAAAACCACCCCTCAGGGTGGGGAGAGGGAGGTGTTACACACCCAAGAAGAGGGTGCGCAGCACTTGGCAGGATTTGTAGCCATGCAAGGAGATGTTACTACAGGGGTGGCTGGAGGAACTCACAGCGCTCATGTGTTAAACACATCTCCAGGTAGGTAGGAAAATCTGTAGGCTTTGTGGCGTAGTGTCCTACCTTCACTGTGGGCTATGTACGCTTCAGGTGAGATACAGACATCTTGTAGGCAGTGGTTAGGAATGATACATGGAGTGGCAGCAGATGCCTCTTAAATACGTGGGCAACATTTTACAACTTTTGTTTCACATTTGGGATGAGGATAATGCCTTCTACAAACTGCACTTGTGATGTGGAGATAAGCCAGCAGCAAAACATCAGGAGTCCACTTCCAGATGACTTGATGACAATATTTATGTCTGAGTTTGGTTTTATTAAGGGCTTGGGCTATAAATCTTGAATTTATCTTCTTCCTCCTTAACAATTAAGAATTTCCCACCAGATCAGCTCTCTGAATCAGATCTCTGAAAAAGAACAAAGCAATTCCTCTTACTACAAAGACACATCTTAAAAAGCACGAGCTTCAGATTTGTTTCACTTGTCAATAAACAAGGCCTTGTCTTCATTTAAATGTTTATGTGGTCCAGTACTTTTGATGGAGCTTTTTGATTAATCACCTGAATAGCTAGAAAGGCCTTAAGAGTTCTCTGCATTCAGCTGGCAAATGAAGTTTAATTCATTACCTACACTTAATTAAAAATGATGTAAAGTCCCAGGATGTGCATGGGAAGACAAAAAATACTAAGATGTTGCTCCTGTGTGAGAGGGAGGGGAAAATGCAGCTCCTGAACAGCAGTTGAACTACTATTTTTGATACTAAATATAGGGTTTTTTCTAACCTGTTTACATCAGAAGACAGAAATCAATGTCTGTATTTATCCGAATTAGCTCCTGCCTCGTCCCCCAGCTGCACTCAGAGAAAGAACTGTTACTCAGAACCACTGAAACAATTGCTCTGTGTTTACTGATGGGGTTTGCTTGGCTGGTTCAACAGCTTTGTTGTGGTCGAAAGCCATGGATCTCTGTCATAAACATAAATTATTTTGGCACTTTCTCAAAACTATTAAGAAAGGAGTTAAATGGAAAATAGAGTACAAAAGTTTACTAATCTGGAGGCACCCGCTAGGATGTCTGTCCTGTGCTCTGTTAGTCTGAAAATGTTCTTTGCACACAAATGACTTTAACAGATTTTCTGCAATGTAGTTTGCAATTTTGGTTTACATTTTCTAATCTTTCTGCAAAGGCCTCATAGAGCTTTTTCTGGCTGCTCATGGCAATATATAGCTGGTTTCAAGATGAACTGCAGAAAATAAAGATCAGTTTTCTCAATACTGCTTTAATGAGTTTGTATATTGTTGACTGAAAAACAAACATGGAAAAAAAAAAAATTCATATTTGTTAGGCAACTGAGTGGCTCTCTGAGGTTTCCATGTTTCTGTTCTCCTTCATCAGCTGAGAAGCAGATAAAGTAGCACAGGTGAAATGCTACATCCTTTGCAGCTCAGCATCTGGTGGAGTTACTTCTGTCTGGTAGGAAGAACTCCCGGCTGCGTCGTGCTGCTCAGATGCTGTGGCAGAGAAAGTCAGCAAGCTGGTCCTGCTATCTGAAATAGAATAACAGACAGATGTATTTGGGGAAAAGGTTAAAGGCAACTTTTTCACCCAAGGGAAATTGTTTAAATCAAAGTTAGGGGCCTTATCAGAGTATGATTATTATTCTTTTTTGCAGTATTTTCACGTTGTTCCTGAGATGAAATAGAGTTTTCCCAGAAAATGAGAAAAACACTACAGACTTCTTAAACTAATACTTGTGGTTGCATAAAGCATAAAGATATTTTTTGAAAGCTTACATGTTTTCTCATTTTTATTTCAGGGATATCAGCCCAAAATTCCCTACTCTGTATCTGAGCAGTGGGGTTCTTTCTTCGTGGACAGACTACCAGGTCTGGAAAATGCAGAGGAAACTTTAGTTCGTACATGGTCCTGTAAATGCATTAGTACTTACAGCACTATTGCAATCCCTAGTCTTGAAGCAATTGCAGGTAAGAAAGGTTTTTTTTTTTCCTTTATGAACTTACAGTACTCATAGTAATTTTGTCATACCACAGATTTATTTTTGAGATTCCATGTATCCAAAATATATCTCAAAATATTCTGTTCCTATCACACAGCACCTAATGTTTATGTTTTTTGTAGTGTTTGCTGTGCTAGTTTCTTGTCTGTGTCTGCAAAGATTAGGTGCTTCATTTGCCCCATGTTAGAAACAGGATGCAACATTTCAGGAGTTCAGGTCTTCCCCACACTATCTTGCTCTTTCTGCTTTTGGTGGTGAGTTATGTTGGGAAACAAATGCATGCAAGATTACTGGAGCTTTCTTAAGATTTCAAAATGTGTTCCCCTTTGATCTAGTTCATTATCTTATCAGTCCATTTATGCCATTACAGTTGAAATGAAGATGAACAAACACAAGAATGTACTGAAGCCAAGAACGCTTAGAACTGTGCTTTTCTCTCTTTCTCTCTCTTATTCCTTTTGAAACTGCACCATCATGGCCACAAATTGAGCCTAAAATTTACTCCTTATCTGGGAAAAAGAAGCCTAACAAGCAGTGTCTTGTTCTCCAAAAATTCATCCAACTGAGAAATTACTCAGACTTTCTACATTTTTTTCCATCAGAGCTGTGCCAGAGGTACAATCATGACAGATCTTATTTTCATTTAACTAGTCTTTATCTCTGGAGGGACCATGCTTTTGTTTGTGTGGTTGGTAGCAATAGCTGTAGCACTGATACTGCAAAAGCTTTGCAGCTGCTGTACGTATCAGTTGATTATGCAGTGATGGTGAAGATCCTCTATCTAGGTAGTCTCGATTTGTCATTTCTCCTTACTGAACTTTGATACACGATATCTAAGGGAATAAACAAAATATTAAATGAATTATGTATTTGGCTCTACAAAGACCACAGTGATTAGTTACTAACCCCTCTGCTCAGCATCTGTGGCTTACTTCATGCAGAAGACTAATGAATAAAGTTCTTCTGAGGGATATTTCAGATATGCCAGCTCTTTCTTTGGCAGAACACATTATAGACCTTCTCTTTGCAACCAAATTCTACAAACCAATGTATATGATAAGGATATCTCAGAGTAGAAAATTGATACAGCAGCAGAATCTATTTATGCTTCCTATATTTACTGTGTTGCAGTCTGTAGTTCAGCCTAGAAGTACAGGGCCTGTGTATAACAAGGAAAGTTGCCAAGACAGAGGTAACTTCTGTAAAATTCCCTTCTAATACTTCTTCCAGCATTATTCTGTGGTTTGCTTTGAAAGTGTTAGCCTAGAGGCTGGCAGGGTCAGCCATGTTCTGTGAACATCTTCCATCCCACCAGTTCCCCAAACCACAGCTTGATCTGCACAGCTACCAAATGCTGTAGACCACAAACTTATCAGGAATTTTCCAGCTACAGATGAAGGGGTGAGAACATTCAAGTTATATATGCATAAATTATTGCTTGAAGTGCAGGAGCAGTATAGCTGTCTGTTCTTTCTCAGTTTATCAGCTGTGGAGCCCTTGCAAACCCTGTGCCTCCATCAGGAAGGATGCTGTGTGCATCCGCACACAGCTAAAGGACAGCGAGTGGAGAACTAACATTTTTTAACTTGCAGCTGTGTGCCTGAACAATAGGCTCAAAGCTGAACGTACAACAATCTATGGTTTCTTAATGAGAGAAGTCGATCTTGTTTGTTTGTGCTAAACACAGATGTTCATTATTATGGAGGTTAAGGCATTCCTGACTCCTCTAGAATACCTTGTTTAACTTGTGAGCCCCCACTTTACCAAGCCCTGAAGTTTTTGGCTGCAGTTTGAAGCCATAGATTAAATAGCTTAATAGCTGCAGCTATTTTGGCATAACTCACTAGAAGAGATTCAAACAGATTATGCGAGTTTGATTCACTCCAGTTTTTCCTTTCCTATTCATGCATTTTAATCACCAGCAGAGGACTTCCCTCAGCCAAGCTGCACAAACACAGACTCTTCCTCAAGCTCCTCAGAGTTGCACTTTGCTGATCATATGGCAAGCGCTCTGTGAGCAGCTGCCATGGTCCTGGAGTTGATAGGTAACCTTGTTTGAGCTCTGAGCTCAATCACTAACCACTGTTAGCCATGACCAGCTTCAGCTTAGGATGTCTGTGTGAGCAATAAGCAGTACCACATACGAATAAATGCCCTAACAGATTGTGATCTGCAAAAATCTTTGGTGAGATCCAAACAACTGCTGCTAGGCTAATTTTAAATACACTTGACACTTCTTGTTTGGCTGCAAAATGTACATAATGAACAGCCTGATTTAATTATCCAGACTCATTTGTCATTGAAAAATATTATTTAAAAAAAAAATTATTCAATATGATTCAACAGAAGTAAATACTAGTGGTGTTTCACGAAAAGCACTGATGTTTAGGCAAAATTCATATGAGAATTGTTATGAAAGAGTTATCAGAAGTTTGGGGGGGAAGTTAATAAAAGTCTTTGAGCTCGTTTCAGTTTTTTTAATGCATGAAATGTGTTTTAAAAAAAAAAAAGAAGAATGAAGGTCTTAGCTCTGGATTGAAAAGTTGGAATAGAGACAACTTTGACAGTTCTCTTTTTTCACCAACCTCTTGTGGGTTTGGTGCAGATGCCTTCTAATGGTTTCACGTAAAGAATTTAAACATATACCTAAATTTAGGGAACAACTTGATACTCACCAAAGAGCACTGTAGGAAAGGGCTTCACAGGGAATGCTGCTGTTGCATATTTTCTCCATTCAAAGTATAAAATAACACAGCATATACACAAACTGTATGTCTAATTAGCAAAATCACAGCTTGTTTAACAAACAGTCCAATTCATTTTTCACTACCTTTCTGTGCTGAATGAATGTAGTTGTTCTACACTTTTGTCCCCATCTTTAGTTGAAAGTTCAGTATCTGACCCAAAAAGGTTTTGCATTCAAAGATGCATCAGAAATTTTGAATTCTAATCACATCTGTAGCAAACAAAGTATTAGTGAGATTGTAGATTACTACGCCACAGCTTGTCATCTCAATTCCCCTGGCAGACTCTTAAGAGGAATTGACATTTTCCTTGGGCATTAAAAAGAACATTTTCTTTATCATTAAAATCACCCAAAGGACAGAAAGGGTCTTCTGTAATAAGTTCTATATACTTTCCTCTGGAGAGGAAATCACATAGGGGTAAAATAAAACTCTTCATTTAAGATATTATTGCTTTGACATTAAGATGATATTTTTAAAAGTTTAACTGCAAAGTAGTAAGTCTGTATCTTTGTAATATTAAGAGGAAATGAGTTAAGCTGAAAGTTTTCTAAACAGTTCAAAGTTCATTTACGGGATAGTTTTTCTTTCCTGTTTCAGTAAGCAGGAAGACTTTTCTCAAGAATTTGAACGCTGAAGATTCACAATTATACTGACATGTACATGGTTAATAAAATATTAGAAGCCAACACTCCTACTCCTGTTCTCAATGCCTCATTCACAAGTCCATCTGTTTCTTCACTTTTCTGCTATTAAATCTCTCCTCATTTCCAGCTCCCTCACAGTTCTTGACCATTTTCAAGCACAATGATATTGTAAGCCAGATTTTACAAAGCAGGATCCATTACCGTGGGAACGTTACATTCTAGTTCACACATAGAAATTAAAAGGTGTAGGGATCAGTCTGAAAAAAAAAAAGGCATTTTGCATAAACCACAGTCTCGACTATATGGTTTTCAATTTCAGAAAGTCTGATTTGTGACAAGCAGAGGCAGATGTGCTTATCTATCGTACCTGCATAACCTGAATGGTACTGTCAAGTACTTGACTCTGTGGCGTTCCCATCGAATTACCAGATGTTTGTGTGAGTAATGATAGGCCCTGCATCATGCAGATATTCCAACAGTAACTGGCAGATCTCCCTAATTTACAAAGATATCAAATACAGATCATATTTTAGCTACTGAGCAAGCTTTTGCAGAAGTCAGTGAAATCTCCGACCAGTGACTGCCAGTTCTATGATCCAAAAACAATTCTTCACATATTTCAGGCTTTTACTTTGAATCTCATCATAGTTAATATTTTTTTTTATGAAAGTAACACTTCAAAAAATTCCATGATAAGTAACTCTTTCTTTTCAAAGCTTATGGGAGAATTCTTGGAGAATTCTGGTAAGTTTCTTCTGTTCTTTGTTGCATTAACAAAAACAAAACAAAACAAAAAACAACAACAACAAAAAAAGCTTGAGAAAGTGGGCCTTAAATCCTAATACAGATAACCCAAATTAAACTTTATAAAACGTCGTGGTTGTTAATCTAGGCTCCTGAACTTGTCTCATAACCTCTGAATGGTGAGGTTTGCCATTTAAAAAGATGCTGCAGGCAAAATGAGCAATGTATCAGCTCCAAGCACTTGCACGCAAAGGATTAGTGCAAAAGTATTTTATGGGTACAGTTTATTTCACACTTTGGAGATGTGGTAACCAAACTTATGTTGCACATGAGGATCATGTGTTTCTTTAAAGCTTGTGAGCCATATGAAATCTTGCCATGCTTTGCCCATCAGAGTACATAAGTTTTTCTTCATGCCTTATTGCTATTTCAATTGACTAATAGAAGAGAAAAATCCATTATAATTTGCCAAAACTGTCTCTTTAAAGAAGCCGGAGTCCCATATCCTGTCTCTTTCTGCAGGAGTTTGAGTCGTCGGTCTGCTTGCTGTATAAATATAATGCTGAAATTGCCAGTGAACCGTAGCAAAGGAGTTCATGTTTCTGCTTAGAGTTGCAAATTGTCTGCACAATGGAAAGCAGAAGGCAGCTGTGGCTGGGACATTGGAGCTAGCAAAGTGTGTGTCACAGATACACGGGTCTGCCCACCATACACTGGTTGCAAATTGCATTCAACATGTGTTTTAAACGTGAATGTCCATGAGGAATTTATTATTACTGTGGAAGTCATGAATTTAACCAAGCATGTGGCGATATATAATTTCTATATCCTGAGCATTATCATGTGTAATTATTACTAGAGTGAAACAATAGAAAAAAAAAGTACCACCATATTTTAATACATTTGTTCTATGATTTTTCATTGAAATTATGTTGTATATAGTCAAATCTAGCTCCTATTAAAATTAAATTGGACTTTCCTGTAACCAGAGAGATAATAACAAATGCTTCCTTATTCAAATAATGTAATGATGTAACATAACTTACACATATAGAAGTATATATATTATAAATTACTTATTAATAGTAGTAAACATTAAAATGTAAAGCTTTACAACCATGCTTTTACTTAACACTTCCAATGTGAGAATGTATCTTCACAGATACATTCTAGAGATTTCAGTTTAACAAAATGCTTGGGTGATTCTGACTTCCTTGTGGGCTTAGCTGCTGTAAAAAGCATTTGTTATTAAAAGACCCTAGAGATCATTTTTATAACAAACCTTTTTTGAAAGAAATGCTTTTTTTATTTATTTTATTTTATATATATATATATATATGACAACATGGTTTCTGAACCTCTTTCTGGTTCTTCTGTTTTGGTACAAAAAAACTGGTAGCAAAGTTAGTTTACTGGAGATGTGCCTCAGGTTGTCTTAGCAGCATCTTCCTCCAACTCTGTGTAAATTGAAAAATGTTAGATAATTTAAATCTGATTTAACTATTCCAGGAAACTAGTTTCAGTGCTCGGAATTTGAGAGACAGAACAATGCACTCAATGCAACAGACAAATAGAATGTATTTATTTTTTCAGCTGCAAAATACAACTGAAACTGACAAGAAACTGCATCTTAACCATAAAAAAATATTATTAACCACAAATACTTGTAAATAGTCTTCAGGACCCAGTATTGGCCAAAGGGTATGAGAAAAACTTTTCCAAAAGATTTAATCAAATATCTTGTTAGTAATTTTGGACATAAAACGGATGATTCACAATGTTTTGGTCTGCCTTTCACTGCTCCTCCAGAAAGGTGTGTTGACTTGTGCCCCTGAAGGCTGCGTCAAGTCATGCAGAACCCAAAAAATTACTTCCTAGCCAATAGCTGACAGAAATGTTCCTGCAATCCCTGTTCCACTCCGTGAAATGTCAAAGCACAGCCACCTCTAAAAGATTAAAGGGAGAACTCATGAGCAACTCATTAAGAAAGGTGGAACCACTCAGTCATTTCTACTTTAAAGTTATCCTTCAACTCAAGCAGCATAATTTCATTTGCAGGCTGCAGTTAAAGCTGTAATTGGGTTTTGACTAGATCGCATGCTTGTGGGGTGGGTTTAGGTTTCTTATTTGAAAACACTGATGGTAATATAACATGTTGATAATTTCTGAATGTGGAAAGAAGTGCAAGTATGTAAGCCACCAACTATTGGAAATACTTCTTCAACTAGATCAAATTTTACATAACTTGCAATCTTATATATTTAAAAAAAAAAAAAAAAAAAAAGTTGCTGGTACGTTCATGTAGTCTGATGTCTAACATATTCCCTTTGGATTAAGATGGTAATGCATGAAAAAAAAAAAAGGCAGGCTTTGTCCTTACACTCATGATGAGTCACTCAAACACATTAATTGAGTGATCCCTGAAAGACTAATATATGCCATTAGGATCTTGTCTTAGAATTTTTTTATTTTTTTTTTTACATTGTCTTTATGTAAATATTTAAGAGTATTATAGCATAACAGTTTGATCACTTGCAGAACAGCAACTGGGAATGGCTAGGTGCCAGGATAGCTGTTCTGCCAGGGGCATATTACAAATATTCCTTCCTTGGAGACACTCAAGGTCAGGCTGAATGGGCCTTTGAGCAAGCTGATCTAGCTGTAGGTGTCCGTGTTTGTTGCAGATGAGTTGGAGTAGATGACCTTTAAAGATCCCTTCCAACTCAAAGGATTCTATGATTCTGTGTGGCGGAGCAGCAGGCATTTTCTCCAAACAGTGCAGCCACAATGGGAAAAGCTGTTAAAGGATTGCTATTAAAGCAGAAATTCTGCAGTTTCACCGAAAGCAATATTAGTCTTTATCTATGCATAAACTGCGCTGGCTGAAACAGCACATTGCGAGTGCCAATTACATCCAAGCTGAGAAGCTTTATCACCTTCCTTCTCTAGACCCCCTGCTGCTGCTGATCCTCTCAGTTCAAACAAACACCCACACAGATGTGTATCCTCCTCCTCTTTCTGTTCAGCTGCAGAGCCTGCAAACAGCAGCAGTGACTTTCATGTAACTGGTAGAAGGAATGCTCATTTAAGTATTTCAAGAGCTCTGAGCTAATACAGAAAACATTTGATCTCGTGTTTAGGAAAATCTGCCTGAGATGTCTTGCTAAAAATAACTGCTATCAGATAAATCTAATTGCATCGCTGGGGTTTTTTGTTTTTGCTACTAGTGCATTCCTTTACATTCCGAGCTCTTGCTGCAAGAGCTGTTGTGATTTTTATGAAAAAGAACTAGGTCAGAAGATAAAAATATTTCATATTTCCAAAAACACTCAGTACTGTTTACCTGTAGGTTGGCAGGCCACAGTGTAGTTCTCTTGGCAGTGCAGCCAAAAGTGTGCTTACTCTTCTGTTAAGAAATTATTTTAGAAATTGTTAATATTAATTAATATTTTCCTTTTTCTTCAACAACAACTTTTCAGTAGAAGCAAAGTTCTATGGCAAAGCTCCTAAGCTAGAGTAAATTACTGGAATTCCTGTAAAAACAATGTAATTAATATTGGGTGATGATAGCCCATATAGCTGTGCTACCTGCATGCTGAGCCACGTGATAGATTGTTGTGTTTTGATATTTGCTACAATTAAGCAGTTTGAAGGTTTTCAAAATCGAATCATATTGCTGAAGAGCTTTTTGCTTCTCCCCCACACCCTCATGTCCCTTGATAGCAATCAGAAGCGCACACATGGGTTCAGTCAGTCCTGCCCTTCTCTTTACTACAAGGTTTCTGCAGCCCTGTTGCCTCCAGGAGTGGGAAATCCTTCGTCTGTGGGCTTCTCATGCATCACCAGCATGCTGCTGTGCTGTCACTGCAAAAGAATGTTGTTCTCCTTTTTGTGGTCACTATTGCAAAATTCTTTGTGATTTTTCTTCTGTGCTTTTTGAGAGAAATCTGCGTTAGGCTTGGACTGTGCTTTTAATTGGAGAAAAATATCTTCCACCTAAAGACCTTAGTTAAGATTATAATTGTTTCATGTATTGATTTGTTCAAGGAAATCTCAGAGAAAGATTAAATATGAGAATTGTTTATCAAGCAAGGCTATTGTCAGGATTAGATTATAACTGACTTCCATTCAGTTACTCAAATATTTTCCTGATTACTCATCTAAAATACTACGTTTTCCCTTCTTCTTGTGGTTTTCCCTTCCTACCCTGTGGCTACAACTCTTGTGTTTTTTTTTTCCCAGTAGGAGCTTTTGGCTTTTATTTATTGGCTTATAATAATGGAGTAGTAACTGAGACATAGTCAAGTAATAAATACAAAATAAATCCATCTTTATCACCTACATGTATGAATATGGATATGCCAAAGCATCAGAGCACAGCATTATAATTTATATCACTTAACAGCTGGATCTTAGCAGCTGGAACACAGCACCTTAGTGACTGGAATAAACCTGGCAGTGGTTACTGTTCAGACATCACATTCACCATTTTATTTAAACTAGAGCTGCTCAAGCACTGCAACTGAGGTTGGGCTGGGCAGGGTACCTTGGGGACCTTCTGTGATCAGTAGCTCGCAGCCCTGAGCACCAGCTGAGCCATTGAGAAGCACCAGGATACTGTGAAGGGAGCTGGCTTTTATCACTCACCAACACTGAGGCTCTGCTTTGGAAGCAAGAATATTCCCAAGGCTACATCTGGCAATTAGAATTTCTGTAGATCTAGAAAGGGATATAGAGGCACTCCATGTTTGACTTTTAGGAGGCTAGGCACTGAAAGTGAATGCTGGGAACAAGATGAGTCTTGGTGAAATTACCTGTGTACCATAGAAAATTCCCAGGATTTAGGTCCCTACAGAGTCTCATTGGGTAAAGCCAGCTAGATCTTTCTTCCAACCCAAATCTATTTAGTTTGTATGGGGTTCTTTTGTGGTTGTTGTTTTGTTGTTGTTGTTTTATTTCCTAGGTGAGTGGCAATATGAGTTGAGGTTTGTGTTGAATCCATTGTCACTGTAGGCTGATCAGCACTGATCAGACCCCCACTGTAGGTAAGAAAGAGCTGTGTATGTGCCCCCCTCTAATCTACAGTTCTCCATCAGGGCTGGGTGAGAAGAGAATGCCCAGATGCAAAGCTCTGCCAAGACAGCAGCAGCTGTGAACGTGTGTGGTAATAGAGCCTAAAGATATTTATTGGTAAAAATACTAGGAAACAATCATTTTGGAAATGAGCACTCATTTCTTTCCTAACTGAGGCTTGCTTTATTATCAAATTATGAATCTCTTATTATTATTATTTTTTTTTTTAAAGCAAGCAGTGTTCATTTCTCTTCTATGCCACCAGTGACAGTAGAAAATAAGACCAAGTACAAAATCAATTGCTGCTGTGTCCAGGAGGCAAACTTAAGACCTCTACCATAGTTCTTTGCTGATGAGCCAGCACTGCTGATACCATTGCCATCTGCATCCAGAGAAGTTGGACTGAGCTTTGGTGTCCAGTTAACATGAATTCTTTGCCATCCAAGGCAACTGCAATTTGTGTGATCTTTCAGAGTTTTCAGAAGAGCTAAGTTTAAAAGAACTTACAGCACACTTCCTCTCTGATGTTTTCTGGATTTCCATTTTTTCATAATAAAAATCAATAACAATCTTCATTTTTCTTTCTTTGAATAATTACCCTTCATCTTCACTCTGATTTATTTATAGCTGCTAGGATTCCAATCACGTATTTCTGGATCAGTGCAGGGCTTTCACATAAATATATCACACTGAAATAAAGTAGTGTGAAGTGTTCACAACTCCAAGCAGGGCAGATGCAGCAAATGAAATCTCTGATGAAAACAAACCTGAAAACACAGGAAGGTTTTTTCCTATATTTGTGACATAAAATCAGCATTGTAGGTGATGAATAGCAGCTGCTTCATGTAACTTTCTGTGATGCCTTACACAACATTTTTACATATGGATACCTTCTGTTCATCCAGTCAACTTGCTCAGACAAAAGCAATATTTAAATGGGCAGATTGGATTTTGAATATGTAAAAATTGATTATTCTCTGTTGGAGTCCTCTGTACTTTGTATTCAAAATTGGTTCGGCATCTAAGATGATTGTTTAAAGCTAGTTTACCATGAAATATCAACAGAATTGCCATTTTGATGTAACTGTTCATTTCTTCAAGATAAGGAAATCCACAGCAAGTCTGCATCACTTATGCTGCTGCTTTTTGGTTAAACTGCTCCTGAGAGACTCCAGTCTACTAGAATAAAAAGCTAATGAAAGCTTTTAGATAAAAAAAGGCACTTAAATTTTATAGTTTACAGTGATATTCGGAATCTTTGCTTCTTTGCTCAGTAGAGTAGAAAACATCTGCCTGCTCTGTTGTGCTCAGAAAGAGCCCTAGAGAATCCCTTGGCTAAGACAGAATGAGAAAATGTGCTTCTTTGACAAGTTGAAGTAATCCACTTAATAGAGCGTAATTCACTTGCAATCAAGTATCCTCCCATTACTGCTTTATTCCAGTCTTTATCTGATTTCTCAACTGGATCTAGATTCTGATTTGTTTGCTTCAGCAGTGTTTTATGTGGTCTTAAAGCTGCAGGCTTGGATGCTGCTCTGCTGTCCTGCATAAGAGTTGCTGCTGAGATAGACCTGAACTTCCAGTTGTTCAGATCTGAAACAGCTAAGACTGTGTTTTTCTGTTTCACTAAAGGAGCTGAATGCAAAAAATTTTATAGCCTGTAGTATCTAAATATCAGCCCAAATGTATTTCAAATCCTTCCCTCCCCCCGCCCCCCAAAAAAAAGGTTCAGATGAGTTTAGTTTTTGTTTTGCTTTGATTCTAAACAGAAAACTAGGTAGGATCTGAGCTCCCCCCCCTCTCTGCTCCTCCCCGCCCCCGCCTTCCCACTTAATAGGAGAGTGATTGTTGAATAAAATTTTATATGTATGGAGTTTATTTTATTTGATTTCTTGAACTTTGAATAAGAAATAAGTATGAGAAGTATCAGTTTCCTGTAGAAGGAGGCACTGCTGCTTGTGAAGTCTTTTTAAAAGAATGAAAGGAAAGAAAGCTTTGACTGTTCAGACCTATTTAAATGTATTCAGTGTCCTTAACAGAGTGGATGCAATGGGTATGCCAAGTTACGAGTGCAAATTTCCAAGAAGGCTTGATACAAAATGATGGTGTTAACACTGAACTTCAAGAAAGTCCCAAAGTGGGTTCATTTTGGGAATCTTGCTACAACAATCCCAAAAATATAAAAAGGACTTCTTTGTTTTAAATGGGGCTCTCATCAGTTGATTGCTGAGATAAAAGAGTGTCAGCTCAAAGAACCTGAATCTGTTCTAGTAGGAAAATTCCACCTAGGCTTGAAAAAGATTTTGTTTGATTATTTAGTATTCATCTAGTCATTCTCTATGACTAGCATTATTTCAGCAATCAAGGAACTGAATATCCTTTACTGCAGTTGAATAAACTCTGAAAGTCAATTCCTTGGACAGCTGAAGATGTCAAATAAATATGTAATCATGCAATCCGATTGAGTTTCTAATGCCAGTAAGCAAACAGCTCAAGGGCTTAAGAAGTACTGCTATTCACCACAGGCTTATTTTTTATGTGATATGGACTGTGCTGCTAATCAGATGTGGTATATTTCTGTCTTTCAGATTTACCACTGGATTACAGATTTACACGATTTTCCTCAAATAGCTCAGCAACTGCTGGGTACTACCCAAGCCCTCCAAGAGCACTGCTGCCAAGTGAGGAATCAGTGACTATGAAATAGGTTTTTGGCTTTTCCTTCAATAACCCTGTGATCCTTTCTTAACTGCTGTTAAATGCTAATTGGTGAAAATGCTGTTTGATGCTTCATAAAATAGAATGATGAATTAAAGCAGACTCCTGTGTAGATTTATTTCCCTTGTTTCTCTAGTCCAGCTGAGACAGGTGAGCATTACATAGTTTGTAAATCTCCTTACAGGACTACACTTCACACAGTAACTGGTTTTTTCCGTGCACTGCCCAGATACTTTAAGAGAAATGTACTGTTAACAATTCATCTCAACTTACATACTAAATTTTCGAGGACATTTTCAGTACTATCTCTGCTTATGGTGGTGCCTTTGCTGCTGCAAAACCCAGGAAAGACATGAAAGACTCAGTCTACTCCATTAAGAGTTACCTTGGCAGCTCAGGTTACGACAGTAGATCAGTGTTCTGCAAGCCATGAGGAAGTTATTCTTTTGCTGTCTAAACAAAGCAGAGAAGCACTGCAATTGTTCTTGGAGAAATGGAAATACTGAGGCAGAAAGAGAAAGATACTTCATAGCCAAAAAGAGACGTGAACAAAATTTAGGCAGCAAAACACAGAATTATAGTCCTGGGAGCCTTGGCTACATGGTTTTTATTCCTGCAAGTGTCCAACCGATGGTGAAATTCTCAGAATGGATTTGACTTCTGGTATTCCTGACACGTCTGTATTACAGTTTCATTAATTACAATATTTTGTCTCAGAAGCAGAGGCAAACGCCATTCCACCTCATTTCAGAAATAACAGTCTTTGTTTCATGCTTTTTCCTACCTTTATTTTATTTATGTAGGGAAAGAATTCTAAAATTCATATTTACAAGTGATTTGCAACTTTTCCAGTTAAATATTAAGCATTATATTTTGGAAGATAAAAATAAAACAAATGAGAAGAGGAATTGAGAAGAATTAAAATGAGGTGGACAAGGAAGGAAAATGGAAGCACTATTTGCTTCCTTATAAAGCATAGGCTGAAAATATTTGACTTAAGGCAGCAAAAAGTAAAAACTTGTGTTTATTTTGAATTATATAAATTGAAATATCTAATTTAGGATCAACATCTTGGGCTGCAAATCTGGCTCAAGATAAGGGTATGATTTGTACTAAGTAGCAAAGTACACAAATTGAAGACTCAGATCCCTGATTACTGCATCATTTGAAATTCTGACCTGAATCAGGTAATCCTTTAAAAATAATTTCTAACTACATTCCAATCCAAACCAATACTATGTACTTTCATGCCTTTATTTTTCTGAATCTGGTTTTTTCAACTTTGAGGTGTTTTTCTTGGTTTTGTTCCGTGTTGTTCTTAAAGAAAATTAAAATATAATGCCTAATGAAAATGAAGTCTTCTAAGACCCTGGTTCCTGGTATCAGCATTTTTTTTTTTAATGAAAAGGTGACAAATTCTAAGAAAGGCCTGAACACAAATGCTACTGGAAGTGTGACTCCCCATGTCTGTGGCTGCATAAAGATATTGGAAAAATAGTTGAAGCATTTGCAAAATAGTTAAAAACAGAGTTCCCGTGAAATCAGTACATAAAGACTCTCATAATGACTATTCTTATTAAAGAACCTCTGAAGATATTACAAGTCTTATTACAAAGCCCTCCAAAATGAAATGGAACATTTAGTTAAGGTTGAATGGTTTCATAATCTCAGACAATTGTTCTTACCTTCCCAAAAAGATCTGTTGTCCTAGTGTATTTTGATTTGACCACCAGCCTGAGGAGTCACCATGTGGTCAGCATTGCTGAGAGAGGCTGCTGGAGTGAAGGTTGGCAAAGGAGGACCTTTGGGAGGTGGACAGGATGGCCCTTGGAAATGGAGATGTCATGGGGATGAGGGAGAAGAAATGCGGATGGAAGAAAATTTATGGGGCTAGCCCCTATTGAACAAGGCCCTGTAAAGACACGATCTTTGTTGTGTTTTTTTTCTCCCTGATTATTTGAACTTTTGGAAATCTCAGATATTTCTTGGATTTCTTGGATCACTGACAGAAAGATCACTGAAATGCCTGCAAAATTAATGTTTATAAAGATCTTCAGTGTGGGAGACAAAGGGACATGGCCAACCTCTTTTCATCAGTCTGCAGGGACAGGACAAGGGAAAATGGCCATAAACTGGAGCATAGGAAGTTCCGCACCAATATGCAAAAGAACTTCTTAACGGTGAGGGTGACACAGCATTGGAACAGGCTGCCCAAAGAGGTTGTAGAGTTCTCCTTCTCTGGAGATATTCAGGACCCATCTGGACACTTACCTATGCAACCCAGTCTAGGGAGCCTGCTTTGGCAAGGAGGTTGAACTTGATAATCTCTGGCATTCCCTTCCAACCCCTACAATTCTGTGATTCCATGTTCTCTGAAAACTATCTTAAATATCAGCAGGGAGACACAAAGAGTCACTAAAATGACTATGTCTGTTTCCATAGTCCTGAAAGCTGCATTTTGGCTTAAAACTTGACCAACAAGTCTCTTTTGTAATCCTCTTTGATACCAAATACATGTGTCTTACTTTTAAAATAAAAAGAATTTCTTACAAAAAAAAAAATTCTGAATTTACTTTATAGATAAACAAAAAAGGGGGGACTATGTCATCCCAAATCAGTGCAAGGAAAGGTTAGTGCTGCAACATCCAATAAAGTACAGCTTGACCTACTCCAAGTAACAAACATGTGAATCAACCAAAATACAATATAAACTAACACTTTTAATAAATTAATACCTTTAATACTTATAGGAAAATCAGCATAGACAATGAGCAGAGTCCTGTGTGTTTCCTGAATAGGACTTGTTCCTGGAAAGTAAAGGCTTCCCAGTCCCCTGAGAGTAAAAGTCAAACAAATACAGATAACTTATCTGCGGTAGACTGGCAGGCAGGGCCTTGCTGAGGCCAGCATTACCTGAGGCTGCAGAAAGGAGGCTCCTTACCTTGCTAGGTCCCACAGCTGCCCAGAATCCAAGGTGTGGTGGGACACCGGTGCTGGCCCAGTTCCTGAGGGAATTCCCAGGAAAATCTGCTTGTTATATAGAATATATATAGAATATATATAGAATATATATAGAATATATATAGAATATATATATATATATGTATATAGAATATATAGAATAAGCAATACTTTGAGATAACCATGCTAGTGATAGGCACCAGAAACCAGCAATCCTAAAACTGGTAACAGCTAGCTGTTGTCTTGGCTGGCATAACAGCTGGAAACCTAACCTGCCAGGAGAAATACCACCTATTAAAGAGGGGCACTGTAACATGACAAGGTGGATTCTGATACAACTATGCAATCAGTAGGTCTCTGAGGATATGAAAAGACTCATGGCATGCTTCGTCAGATCTGGCTGCAGCCAGGTCCATGTAACTTCCAGTAAAGGCTGAGTTACTGCAGATCACAACTGAGATTGCTCTAATTCAAAACTGTTCACCTGTATTTTCCTGCCAAACAGTCACGCTCCTGTAGAAACCACAATTCTCTTTATTCCAGGAGTCCTAATCTAACCTGAGGGAGGAGTCAGGTAGGTCCAACACTTATTGCCCTATTAAAAAAAAAAAAAAAAAATGGTTTCCAACCTGCCCTTGGAGTCATTCTCTTTCCTGTGGTTGCACAGTCATGTTTTCTAGCTGTGTGGGATGATATGCAATTGGTAATTATCCTTACTTACCATCAGTAGAGATGTGACTTTACATTCCTCAAGGTAGGAATTTGGTTTTGTTTGAAAAGTGTTTGGCCATGACTTGTTCAATCATATCCTGAGTAAATATTGTACCTTAAACCTTTCCTCCCGAGTCCACATGTACAGTAAATCATATCAAGGTAAATGGCAGCAGAGCGTAAAGACATATAGATTAGTATGAAGGTGTCAACAATCAGAATATGATGACTGACCTTCAACATTCCATTTATTCTTTTGTCACCACAGAGGACAAGAACACTGTAAGTCTAAAATACACTTTTGTACACAATGTTGATATTTTATAGTAGAGATACTTTCTCAGAGAATAAGGTTTAGAAATAAAGTCCTGTACAAAAAGATGAAAGTCACACACTAGCATGTGGAACAAGGGATCTGGTACAAAGATGTTGCTTGACCAGGGTTTTGCCTTGATCTTTGATTGTCTTCTAAATTCTATGGTGAAAGAGTATAAGGTTTTCTGGCAGGTATAAAGTAGCTATTTGCACCTTGTACACTTATACAATCAACTTTTAAAACAAAATATTCTTTCGTACACTTGCTTTGTGGCAGATAGTTGTTCATCTGAAGAGTACTTCATCAGAGTTAGAAGGGCAAGCACTTGGCTAAGCTACAGAAACCTTACCTCTGCAGAGCACCAGTTGTAATGGTACAACAGTGATAATGATACAGCCACAAGATGTGTGTTAACTGTACAAGAACCACCTCCAACTAGCTGGTGTAGAGCCTCCTGGAAAAGGCTCGATCCCCTAATCAGCCCCATCTCCTGTAACCATGTTTGTTCAGTTCTGAGTGAGTGGAACATCAAACTTCCTTAGGAGGTCACAAGAAAGAAAAAATTGTAAAAAAAAAAAAAAGTTTTTGGAAAGATTTCATTGCAAGGAACAAATCTTGCTTTTCTGTAAGCACTATAAATAGAAATGCCTACTTGAAAACTGAGCATGGATTAGGGCCAAAATAAAATGGAATCCAGGAAGTTAAACAGACTTGGGAATGTTTGCCAACTCTACAGGGCAAAATGGGGATTCCTGTATGCAGGCCAATGAAATAGTGCTGTGGTCAGGTTGAGTGGTCATTTTCCTAAATGTAGGACAAAAACCTAAGGGAAACCTTTCAGGATGAACTGAATGCCCACAACAGCTCT